CAGGAATGTACTCGAGGGGAGGAAAATAGATAATCTCATAAATAAGAGTTGCTTGTAGAGCAGTCCAGGCAAGTCATTTGCTTGGACCAATGTCCTCTTTCTTTGAATCTTCACAGTCTAAGCTGTCTATGCCATCCAGATGACTACCAGTATGCTTCCATAGAAACTTGGACATTCACAAGAACATTTGTTCCCATTTTAAGCACTGGCCAGCTCTTTGTAAACATTCCTGGTATTTTGAACACAGAGACAAATTTAGTAAAAGGAAACAGAACTGGCCACAGCAATGACAGCAGCCCCAGCTCATCTCCACTAAGTCTCTCCCCATTTCCAAAATAATTCTCTAGAGCCAAAGAGAAAGAGTAAGTTAAAAACAAAAGCATCACTCACTACTTTACATTTCAAATGCTTTAACTGTTATGTCTTTTTCCTGTATAATAAAACATTTACATTATTTTTAATGGTGGTTGTTCCCACGGGACTAAACAGGCTGTGATATCTGTATTTGAAGCCCCAGACAGTGCTTAACTGATTTGTATTGTGTAACAAAAGGGTCCTGTTAACACCTTTGACCCCCTGGGCCCATTGGAGCCCTGAAAGTTTATACCACTGTTCTTGACACAGCACAAACATTCCTGGTAAGGTGTCTAAGTAGCTTTGTTTGTATAGAAGGTAACAACCAAATGAAATCCCTTCAAAGCCATCTTATGCTTCAGTGTAGGGAATTCCTCTACATTTGTTCAGCCATGACTCCAGTGAACTCAAATCTACTGCAGGAACATGGCTTCATTTGCCACTGGAGTCCAAAGACCCTTGCTAGTGAATCCCTACTGTATAGCATGGAGGTCAGTGGTATTGAGCATGTGTATAGCTTCAAAACAGAAACTTCTTTAAATCATATGAGGCATGAAGCTGTACGGGACTCAGCCCCAACCACCAACCAACCACCTTCCAGTTCTTGGAGCTTGCACAAAAGGCTATTGACAAAAGCAGCTTCCTTGTGCTCCTCTGTAAAAATAGAGCTAGATGATGCTATCATATTCAATTACTCTCTGAACATAGCAAGCAGAAAATCCAACACCAATTAATGGCAGTAGTCCATCTTGTCCAATGTCCTGTTGTCCACATTGTATAGTACCAGGGATTTCAGCAGAAGGTATAAGAAACCTCACAGAGAATAACCTCCATCTAGGGATATCTTTTTCCCAATCTTGGAACACTAGTGATTGCTTTATGCTCTTGTATATGAAGATTTAATGTCCCTTATATGTTTTAATTTTGCTATATAACCTAGCTGGGAAATTTCTTGCCCATATAAATGTCTAATAATGTTTTGACCTTGCTAAACTCTTGCAGCTGGTTTTATTCCACTTGCTAATTATGCATTTTGTTAAAATTGTTTACTGTATTCTTTGATCATCTCTAAACCTGTTTTATTTTGTCACATGCTCAACTGCTGTAGTATGCAAGCATCATTTAACTTCTCTAATATGTTGGTTTTATATACTTCTTTCTGCTTTCTATCTTCTCTCTAAGTTATGCAGTATTGTTTTGCTCTCCCCTCATGTGGAAATCTTTTCATGCTCCTAACACTGTTCATTGCCCTTTTCCTATTCCCTTTCTATTTCTGCTACCTACCATATGTGCTGTAGGGAGCTGTGTAGCTCAGTTGGTAGGATGACTGGCTACAGACTGAAAGGATTGGGCCTTCATAACAGATAAGGGCAATGAGTGTTTGTTCATTGTTTCCACTTCCAGCATGGCCCTGAGGCCCACCAAGACTGCTATTCAGTAAATAGCAGAAGCTACCTGTGAGTAAAGGTGGCTAGGGTGTGGAGCTGATTATATCACCTCATTCTTGTGCTGAGGTTCAAGAAATGGTGGAGCCCAGCCTCAATGGCCTGTAAATGGAACATCTTTACCTTTACAGTGTGGTGGTAACAGGTGGACACAGTGGGCAGAACTGTATTTTAGCTAATAGATGACCATGCTGCATCTTATGACCACCTCTGAATTACCCAACTGCAGGAGCGATTCTTTTACCCTCTCTGGGAATGAAAGTGCCCCATTGTGGGAGTAGGATTACCCTCTGGAGATGTGCAGACATTTCTATCTTCCTCTCATGGGGGCACTCTTACAGTTTAGTCAGGTAACTTGCACTTTGGTCATCCTGAGATGAAACAGAATTCTGCTCAGTATTTCAGGCCATGGCTAGGCTGAGTTCTCACACATTTTCCAGCATTTCACATGTAGTTGGTGTTTCACTCCTCTATTCTACCAGGCTAAGAAAGAAGGTGCTTAGTGCTTACTTAACTAGTGACAAGACAAAGTAATTTTCATGGCTTGGTCGTGGCATGAAGAGCCGATTTTGCAGGCATTTCCCAGTGGCCTCGTCCCTCATCACTGATTGGCAGAGGCACGTACTGTATAATTTTTTAGCATATTCCACAGAAAGTAAATTATATCATATAATGTATCTTATTATAAATCAAAATATTCTATTTAATTTTAAATTTAAATATATATTTATATACAGTACACATTGTAACTTATAGTATCATTTATTATTATAAGTAGCTTTCTACAAAAAGTTTAGAAATACCAATTAATGCTAACCTTAATAGAAACATTTTCACTTCACTGACTGGTGCCTGAACTTAATCTACATCACTAGCAGACAGTGGGTGCGTCTACACTCAGTGCTACTGCGCAGTAGCTTATTGCTGCTGCACAGTAGCGTTGGCAAGGCACTGTGATGTGAAACTACTGCGCAGTAGTAATGAGCAGAAGAAACTACTGCACAGTAGCATGTAAAAAAAACCATGTGGGGATGCTAGTGTGCAGTGATGCCGGTTACTGCGCAGTCATTTAGTACTTGGTTATGCAAGTACTAAATGACTGCACAATAACAACTGAGCAGTCCACCACTTGTGTAGATGCCCATCTCTCAGTCCTGTGATTTATGGCTGCAGTGATTGTCACGTTGTCTTTGAATTGTGGTAAGCACCAAGACATTCTAAACAGCGTATTATATGAATAATACACGGGGGTTGTGTTTTTCTTTAGGTTGATTTTGTGGGTTATCACAGCCAATGCAATATTTCCTGGCGATCATGAACAATGCTGTTTTTTGCAGTTTCCACAAAAACCATAAAACCATGAATTAAGTAGACTCCTACCTATAAGCAAAACAAAGAAAGGAAAGCATAGCCAGTCCCTAAGGACTGCAATAAGCATGATCAGGATTACCACAATTTCCATTAGAGCTGGAGTCAATCTGGTGATGATCTGGGAAACTGTATCCCACTCAGAATTTCAGTCCTGGCTAGGGCTCCATATTGTTCTATTGCTCCATACCCAGGGAAGGGTAGAAGCTCCAGCCCAAGCAACCAGAGCGGAGAGTCCAAGCTGCAAGCATTGTTGTTACATCAATTCCTACCTGGGCAAAGCAGGGAATTCATGGCCCCTGGGGGCAGGCAGAGTGGGATGGATCTGGTTAAGGGCTATCTGTGGAAGCGGCTCATGCCTGCCTCATCACTTCTTGCTTAGTGCTGCAACTGGGGAGAGGAGCCTACTGTGAGGGGGAAGAAGGTGGAAGAGAAAGAATGGGACTTAGGAGTTTCTCCAGCAGACTGGGAGCCAGCTCCAGCCCATTTGC